GAATCCCATACATATTATACAACAGTATAACAATAGTAGCAGCTAGTATACTGTTTAATTATTATAATTGATTTACTGCTCTACTATTAATTTGAAGTAATTGTTCATGTCTTACCTACTTAACTCTGCTTTATACAGAATAGTAGTTGCCCGCATATTATGTCCGTGCAGAATTAAAATTATTAAATTATTGCCAGCGTTGAACAACTTTTTCGCTTGGCACAGGACAGGAAAGGGTTCGCTGAGCTGACGGCCAACCTCCAGTAATGGAGAGGCATTGGAAGAAGAAGAAGAATTAAATAAAACTTAATAAGTATCCTATGTGTTTGACTCTGTTCTACATCTTTGCCAAATATCAGCGAGATCTGTTCTATCGTTCTGGAGATGCCTTCAAACATTCATCCATCGATCTAAACATTCACATTTATAATATTAGTAAGATAGCAGTTGTCCGCGACTTCGTCCGCGCGGAATTAAAAAAAAATTAATAATATGAAAAGCATTTTAATATCAGTTCTGTAGTTTTGCCTATTCAATGCAAACAAACAAATCTTTCCTTTTTATCTTGTATCGATACATTTTAAAAGCGGCTTTTGACAATACGTGTGTTTATTTATTTTTTATCTAGTCTCAAGTTCTTGCCAGTTTTTAAACAGTTCGCATGCACGTTTTAGATGTCGAAGTATAGTCAGGCGTATTTATTATTTTTATCAATAAAATGCATGTGTTATAAAATTATGAAAGCCGTTAAAAATCATATAATTTACTGTATATTTTATCGTATGCAATAAAAACTAAACGCAGATATTGCAAAATACTCAACGTATCATTAAAGACCAGCTCACCGCAGTACTAATAAACTTCAAATGTAAATTACGTTTATAACAAAATAAACTTGTAGTACAAATAGAATGGAGTACTAGATTAATTTCTTAAATGTTGAAATGCTTTTCTGTTGCTATTTCTAAATTAAGATATATTAAATTCAAACCAAATGTGACAAAACTTAAGTGCGTCTAAAAAAGGGCTATTTCCAATGGTATTTCCCAAGATAACACGATTTATATGAGTGCTAAGAGGTTAATTCTAGATTAGATAAATTGGGATACAAGCTATCGCCCGCGACTCCGTCTGTTTGGTTTTAGAAATGACTTAATAAGTAACCTACATGTTATTCCAAACTATGTTCTACATTTGTACCATTAATTTCATCAAGATTCGTTGAATCGTACTGGAGATACCATCTAAACTTTCGCATTTATAATACTAGTAAGTTTATTTATATAAAGTTATCGACTTGCAGTCTGACCGAACGCAAGCGCGTAATGCGTTAATTTAACCTCGCACGAGACACGTTTCGCGGTAAAACTGTAAATTATTTTATTGATACAGGAAGTAAGGAATGTGGGTCACATCGAGCACGCACTAACGCGACTACTCATACATCGCATGACACTAGCAAACCGCCCTGACTACGCACGCGTATTAAAAAATAAATAAATATATAGCCTATGTTACGCGGTATTAAAAAACCTTTATATAAGTAAAATAGATTCAGTAATTTTTGACTTTTTTTGGAAACAAACAAATGATAAATTCCTTTGTAATTATATTTATAAAAGTTATATTGTAACTACTAGACCACGTCTATCCGGACGGACGACATTTTTGTGAAGAATGCTGAAAATGTGGACGCGTTGTCATTAACTAGAAGATTGCACTAAGCTGTAGCTAGGGTTGGCACTTATCTGATATCATTTTTGATATTGAAAAATTCAAATTTAATAAGACCCAAAAACTAAACGACAAGAAAAAATGGTCCTAAGATTACATTGGATTTTTTTTAGAAGAATTTTAATCTTTAAAATCCAACACCTGCTTTTCTTAAGTACTGTTAATGTAAATGTGTCGTATTTCAGAATATTAAATTGGATTTACATTTAAGATATGTAGAGTTGTGGCAACCCTAACACAAGATGAGATCACTAACACAATGAAGTTACGCGGCAAAGTACACACACTGTTTATACCAATATTAGCGCAAAAGATATGCATCTACAGAGTAACTACTTGCCTATAATACACATACTATGAATATACTATGTGTGAACTAACTCACATATTGCCGCTGCTTCATTGGATTTGCGAGAAACTTACACACCTACTAGCTGTCTCCCGCTGCTCTGTCTGCGTGAAATTTAACAAACTTAATAGCCTATGTGTTCTTCCAGACTATGTTCTACATCTATGCCAAACTTTATCGGGATCCGTTAAGCCCTTATTATATCGGATTTATAACGTATTTTATGTTAAACTAGGTGTCGCGCGCGATTCCGTCCGCGCTGGTTTATAAAAAACGGTTCCTAAAGGGTTTTCCCGGCAATTGGCATCGTTGAACACCTCAGTGTTCCCGCTGATCGTTTGCCCCTTTTGTTATAAAAAAAATCATCTTCTTATTTTTCTCCACTTTTAAACCTTCCCCAGACCTCTACGAACATTTCAAGACCTAGATGAATTAAATCCGTTTAGCCGTTTTCGAATTTTAGCGAGACTAACGAACAGCAATAGATTTTTATATATAGAAGATTGTTAGTGTGACTATTTTGCAACTAGATAAACATTTTGAATAAGGCCTCGTAAAGAGTTACATCTTTTAAGGTCTCCCATGAGTTAATTTACATAATGACTAAGCCTTTTATGTGTATAAAATCGCGTCGAAATATCTTCTAGGCTTCTAATGAAATGTGTTATTTTAAATCTGACCCAAGTTTCGTGAAATTAATTCCAGTTCAAACTAGTTTTAGTTGCCTTTGTTACATCTTCGACATACGTCTCTGACATTCATCAGTGTTGCCGCAACATCGCATTGTCACAATCATAGCTCTGACAAACTGACAATTACTTAACGTTTGCCCTTTACTTGTGAGTTACTTAACATGTACTTTAAATGTAACTATGTACATCCAATTACTCGTTTGATAATTTGAATTTCGCTATATGCTAAGTAGGTTCGTGATATAGTCAATCCGATTATGAACTTCGTCAGTTTATAATCTCACTGTGATTAACAGATTCTTCAAAAATTTAATTTCACAATTAACTTTTAGTTTTTCGTCATCTTTGCACGTAATTTTATTTATTTGACCAAGCGAAAGAATACTTGATAGTATGAATATCCTATTACCTTTACTGTGGGAGTTTGTTTTTAGAAATCTTATAGATAGTACCTTAGTCTCACTAATATTATAAATGCGAATGTTTAGATGGATGGATGGATGTTTGTTTCGACGTATCTCTAAAACGGCGGCATGGATCTTGTTGAAATTTGGCATAGGCGTAGAATATAGTCTGTAAGAACACATCGGCTACTTTTTTTTTATTTCGAAATGCGTGCAGACGCAGTCGCGAACGATCGCTTGTTAGACATAAAACCACTTATTATATTTCTATCCACTTTTTTTTTAATTTTTTTATATATAAGTATAAAAATTCAAGGAAATTGGTGGTCCATTGTGTGTGAACGAGTTGCATTGTTATTTCTATTAGGTATATAATTATACGCAATGACTGTAGAGTTTTTGTTGTTCCGAGCCCTTTGCACGACCGCGCCATGAATGAACCAGACCAGATTATTTATAACTTGTATCTTGTAAGAACGTCTTTGGAATCAAACGCGGGGTAACAACACCAGTTATTGACGCGTCGTTTTTCTTAAATAATTTCTTGTTTAAAGTATAGCATATTCATCTTTAATGTACTAAAGAAAGCGTCTAGTTTAAAAAAATTGAACATATAATCTACTCATGACAAAAATAAACTTTGTATAAATTTTAAATAGCAGCACGGCAGTCAAAATGCGTTTATTTAGTGGTTTAAATCATATATACTAAAGCTAAATACATATATATCTATATAAAATAAAGTCGTGTTAGTTAAGCTATTTATAACTCAAGAACGGATTTAAAAATATGGCTGAAAATTGTTGAGGAGGTAGCTTAGAGCCAGGAGACGGACATAGGATTTTTTTTATTCTTTTTTTTCGAATTTATGCCTTGAAGAGCTGCTTTTTATTTAAATTACTAATATTATAAATGCGAATGTTTAGATGGATGTGATGTGAATGTACACTAATTAAGTTTTTTTATATATCCACGCGGAAGGAGTCGCGGGCGACAGCTAATTTACATTAAAATCTCCACTTCCCGCGCTTTTCTCTTCTCTTTTCACCAATCTTTTTTTCATAATTAAAAAGGCAAAGGTTCTTATTGATTAGTACGTCACTTTGGCATAATGTTCTGTACTGTAAAAAGTCAAAGTGAGTGTGAAAATGTTTATGCAATCATGCGTAATACATTCATAAGAATATAATTAGTTAAATAAGTTACATTAGAGCACATTAAGGTCAGCTGTACTGTTTATATAATATTTCTATGAAAGGTGTATTCAAACTGCACGGTTAATCTTTAAGAAGGCCGCGTGATATGTTCAGCGCAATCAGCTTATATTTTGATAGCATTGAGAGAGATTTCCAACTTGTTTTGAATTCAATTAATTATTTAAATAAAAGGAAAGATTTAACAATTAGGTATGTTGGAATATTTAGTAATATAACAACATATTAAATTGTTGTTTTGTAATATTTAACACCAACATGTATGGGTGAATTACAACAGAATTACAACTTCTCATCTTTCAATAAAAGTTAAACAACTCTATTGCTATACATGAAACTTAATGCTAATCACATTTTTTCATAAAGCAAGTCAGTCTACTAATATTACTAGGTTAAAGGGCAACGACATTTGCACATCCCACAAGAAGATTTCGCAATGGAAATTTCTATTCTCATTTCAGTAACTAAGAAAATTATATTAATATGTTATTAAAATTTATTATTTATGTCACAATCATTCAGAAAGTGACTTCACGTCGGTCAACTGAGTAACTATAAGATGCAAACTGAATACATTAGTTAGTGTGCAAGCTCGGGCGCGTTCACCCTACCAGTCTCCGGCGTGGTCGCCATGTGGCTCAGTCGGCGACCGGACGCGCGCGCATTATGTCGTGTCTGTTCCTCATCGTGGTGCTGGCTGTTCACAGCCAGGCTTACGTGACGGAGCCACCTTCGTTAGCAAAGCGGCTCGACAGGCTCTACGAGAAGATAGAGAGGTTCAATCTGGCTCAGAGCGAGCCGGTGCGTATGGAAGATAAACTGAACGCGAAGTTAGCTAAGTTGAATGCGTTAACACCGGTGCGTTTGGGAGATGAGGATGAGGAGCTGGTATCAGCGATGCAACTGTGGGGCGATATGAGCGAGGACCAGGTGAAAGATGTGGTGCGCGAGCTGCAGCAGATAAAGGAGCAGCGCCCCGAGGATAAGGTGGAACGGATGGCAGACGGAGAGTACGGTGATAGTGATTGGAATGATGAGGTCAGTGTATGCGTTAGTTTTCTAGTGATTTTTCGATCATTTAGGTTATAGATATTTTCCCTCGTTATCTGGCCAGTAATGTTTAATTACTGTTTAAATGTTAGTGCTCGAAGATCCACCGTAGCATGGAAGATGTCCTTTTTAAGACTAAAATTTTAGGTCAACTGATTGTTTTTAAAATGGTACTTTCTTTACACAAAAAATAAGCGTTCATCAAAATCGAATTCTGAACTTTTTCTTAAAGACAATTCAGTGAAACTTTCAAATAGTCATTGTTACAAGTTTACTATGTTGATTACTTAGAACGTGAGTGTTTTTCAGTTTATGTTAGAGTCGAATGCACATTTTTTCTAAATTTGTTTTGGGGGACCATTGTTTTTTTAATTACTTTTCCTTGATTGCTTAAAAGCAGAACTATTATAACTCAAAATGATTGTGTTGAAATATACATTTGGCTTAGCTTACTCGTATATTATTTCGGTTTTTTTTTACGGACCAACCGGCAGCCGCTGTACATGCGTCTTGTGTGGTATTCAAAATAAACAATACAATTGTTTATTTTATTACGGTATCTTAATTCCATTGATGTTATACTGATTGAAATATTTACGTTATAAATAAACTTATATCAAATAATAGAGATTGTTTATAACAAAAAATAATAAAGCAGTGCCGGGGTCGAATATTGAAAAATAATTATACAATGACCTTCAATTATTTCTCGACCAATGACATCTATTTATTATCCTCAATAACATATGCACATATATTCAAATAGTTGTTGCAAAATTTCCTTGCAAATTAAAAACTCGCGTCTCCTTATTGGATTTCAAGCGCGATTTCAATGATTACTCTACCGATGCAGTCTTATTATGTACCTATAAGTACACACGCGGTCACTTGAAATCGCTGAAATAGCGAAGTGACCGTTACCCATAGACATACGCAATTACATATGCGTTGCCTACCTTTATTGGCGGAGAAGAGGATGCACAGAAAGAAAATATTTTCCCTTTCCATGCATCCTCTCATCCGGAAAGTCCACTTCCACTTCCCATCCTTTCCTTATATAATAAGAAAAAGGGTGGGAAGGGAAAGAGGACTAATTTTGGCCTCCGGGACGCACACTCATCAGACGAAACGCGGAGTTGCTTCCACTTGACGCGTGTCTTCTGTGTGGTCGTGGTATTTCACCGGGCGAGCCGGGCCGATTCGTGCGAAGATGTTAAAGCGGGCTCATCCCTATCGAGGGTCGTCACAGTATATACTACTCCACCATACTCCATGTACTTAGAAGTACTAATTAATGTTATGTTAAAAATATGATTTTTTGCAATAACAAATTAAACTGTTATCCGTAAAACTATGTTAGTATTCTGCGTATATCTCTGATCTGAATCATTTATACATCTTGTTTCATTGTTGACATCATTTACATATTTTTTAGTAAAATAATTAAAACAAAACAAGACAACATGTAGGTAATGTCCCCGACCGGTGTGTGCGAAGAGTATTCATATGTGCCCACACCCCGGTAAACAGTGAGTCGAGGGAACCAGAGGGGGTTTAGTGGGTAGGCTCCTTGTCCCTTTAGGGATGTGGAGAGAGTCCCACATAACCGGAGTGGCTTTCCCCGAGACACTCGGTATGCGTAACGCATTCCCCCTCTTTAAAAAAATGGTATACATGTCTGTTTTTAGTTTAAACGGAATTTTGTTTTCTTCAATCTAATTGTCATAATTTAGAATAGAGCGGAGTAAACGCTGATTCAGATCCATACGAAAATTATTTTACCTAATTCGTATAAAATGGTAGACGAAAACAGTTCGTTCACCCGCTTAACTACAGATTATGTTTTTACTTTACATCGAATTTGAACCAAATGTTTAAAATGTCGTGGATAGCATAAAGTTATTTGGAATCGTATATTGATAGTGGCCGTAAAACTGTAATAACAAGACAGACTGGTTACAATTAACGCAGTTTGTCGCGCCGAGCCCGCGGCAACAGTTGAATTATGGCGTTTGATCGGTTAAATTTAACTCGCTCAGTTAACGCGCCGACCACAATAGCGCTGCGACCCCCCACCACCCCCCAAGCACACATCTGCTCGCTGACATCATCTAGTTATTATAACTTCACGACTTTATTCAAATAGGATATAAACACAATATTATTTTATATGTAGTTTTAGACATTATTAGTTAGAGTCAATTGGCGCGAATGGCGTGCTTTCGTTATAAAGTCAGTTGTCAGAATGATTAGTGAGGGGACATAAACGTTGATATTTTAATATAGCTAGTGTTGCGCCGGTACACCGGCACAGTGTCGGATTTTCTTCCTAATAGTGCAGTCAAACAATTGAATTTGCTTCATATTTAAGTTTGAATATCTTACAATGCTAAGTAAGGAATATAAGAGCTATAATTTGTCGTATATATATATATATTAAAATGACAAGTTTTCGACACGCTAGTATAACAAGTACAACGAACAGATGTTTTTAAACTTTTTGAAATAATACTGCTACCTTTTCTAAGGCCACTTACAATACTATTAAGATTAGCCGTTTGAAAAAAAAGCGCAAGAAAAAAAATGTCATGGATTTTTTTTATCACTAATTAATATAATATTTTCTCGTACGTTAGTTTAATATAAACAAATTATTTATTATTATATTTATTAAAATTACATCCGTCTGCATTCATTCACTATTAAAATGGCTTCACGAAGTGTCTGACGCACTATAATTATACCGATTTATATTGTAATAGCTTTTAATGCAAGGATGCAAATAATATTTACTAGATAGAGCATGTATCCATCTAGAATATAATAACGGACATATTCTATATCTGATCTCAAACCATTTTTGCTTACCTGTCGATTTAAACTAACATTTTTGAATTAATTTCAAACGAGCGGTCACCCGCAACTCCTTTAGTGCGAAATTAAAAATAAATTAATAAGTAGCCTACGTTTTCTTTCAGATTATGTTCTATATGCATGCCAAATTTTATCGAGATTCAGCCGTTCTAGCGATATCTTCAAACATCCATCCATTTAAACATTCGTATTTATAATATTAGTAAGATTTAATCGTTCCAAAGATAACAATAGCAATTGTATAAAAAAATCGAACTTATTTTTTTAATACTAAATAATTTAAATAAATCTATAAAGGATCGAATACTGATTTAGGTATGTACAGACTGGGATTTTACACAGATTGATAAGATGTTTCTCGTTTTAAGTAATTCTATTGTGACCTTTTGAAGACTAAACTATTTTCTATGATGGAGGGTCAAAGAACAGCCAGTACTCTTTTGGTTACTCTGATAACAATTTGAACATAACACTAAAGTTGACCGTAGCTCTAATAAAATAATAATTGAATACTCATGCCTTTAAATTTACGACCGGAAACTGGCAGAGAGTAAAATTTTCAAATAAACATTAGTAAAACTCATAAGCACAAGTTTCACTTTTTAATAACGGAAAGTAGCGCGCCGGTTACGATGCAATACCGCTTTGATTACTTGATCTATCACGCATACATATTTTTGAAGTTTTTAAGGGCCTCTTGACATTAGGGACTTTTTAGGGTTCCGTATCTCATAGGAAAAAACGGAACCCTTATATTTTCATATAATAAGGTGGCAAACGAGCGAGCGGCCACCTGAAATCGCTGCAATAGCGAAGTGACCGTTGCCCATAGACATACGCAATTGCATATGCCTTGCCTACCTTTAATCGACGGAGGAGAGGATGCACAGAAAGAAAATATTTTCTCTTCTCGTGCATCCTCTCATCCGGAAAGTCCAACTCCACTTCCCATCCTTTCCTTATAAGAAAAAGGGTGGGAAGGGAAAGAGGACTAAATTAGGCCTCCGGGACGCTACTTCCTACGACTTTAAACTACGTACTTAATTTTGTAACCGGATAGTACGGTATTTCACTCTAGTAAAGCTGCACCTTAACAATGGTTACACTTAAGGTGCTGAAACACTAGAGATGTTCACAATCCCATGCACTCTGACTGTAAACTTGTGTATACTACTGGAGTATGTACATACATATAATACTGACTAATACGGTTTTAGATGTAAGTGTGGTTCCAAAAACGTATTTACTAAAGATTTCACACGACTAGTGTGTAGGTACATATTTTTATAGACCTTACGAGTAGTCGCCCGCGACTCTATCCACGCGGAATAAAAAAAACATAATTAGTAGCCCCTATGTTCTTCCAGACCATTCTTTGGAGCGAATGACGAGCTTTCGTTACAAAGTCAAGTGTCAGAATGATTAGTGAGGGGATATAAACGTCGATATTTTAATAAGACTAGTGTTGCACCAGTACACCGGTACAGTGTCGGATTTTCTTCCTAACAGTTCATACATATAATACGGGTTTAGGGGGGGTGGTTCCAAGCTCATGTGATCCTTAAGATTTCACCCGACTAGTGTGTACGTGTAGGTGTAAAGTGTTTAATGTGTACCTGTGTGGAGCTAAGGGCCAATTAGCGGGCTCCCTTGGCGCCGCAAACTGCATTATCACAGACTGAAACAACGCAAATACCTTTAATTGCGGCCTGTGATTTCATTGGCAACATTGTAAATTAGCATTCGTGAGTTTCGCCCACACTATTGTTCTATGTCATTATACTAATTAGGAAAATCGATATGTAACTATTGTTATTCTATAAGGCTTATCTTGGATATTATTGTTTAAATGGATGGTTGGATCTCTCTGAACTTTGGCATGGATACAGAACATAGTCTGGAAGAACACATAGGCTGCTGTTTTTTTATTTATGCTGTCACCCGCAACTCCGTCCGCGCATAAATAAAAAAAAACTAATTAAGTAGTCTACGTGTTTTTTCAGACTATGTTCTACATCCATGCCAAATATCATCGAGATCCATTGTGCCGTTCTAGTAATACTTTCCTACAGACATCCATTCATCCATCCATCCATCAGACATATATGAATTTT